CCAATAGGGAAAATAGAGGTAAAACCTTTAAAATCCTTCTTCTACCATAGGGATTAAGGGATTTTATCTTAATTTAGTCTGGAGCATCCTTGGGCCAAGGGGACTCAATTTTGTATTAGCAATGGGGGTGGTCTCCGAGGGGGGTAGAAGGGCGGGGCCCAATAGGAGAAATAGAGATAAAACCTTTAAAATCCTTCTCCGACCATCGGGATAAAGGGATTTTATCCTTATTTAGTGTGGAGCATCCTTGGGTGACGGTGACTCAATTTTGTATAATTGGTGAGTATGACCCCCGTAGGGGCATAGGGGCGGGGCTCTGTTTGAAGTTTGTTCTCTATATCTCAAGTACTGGATGGATCTTTCTGAAATTTGATATGTACTTACAGCACCTACCATTGAGTGCTATATCTTTACTTCATACCAATTACTTTAATTATATGCAGGTGAGCGATACAGGCCCTCTGGGCCTCTTGTTTAATTTTATTTTTGTGTTTTTTCCTCATTTTTTGTGTATTTTTCACTATTTTATCCGTTTTTCAACTTGTTGAAACATCCTAATTTAAGTATAAAATGATGTTTATGACCTCTCATTTGTATTTTCATACTGATTTCAGTGTTTGTTGAGGAAATATTTGAGTTTTTTTAATAATATTTTTGTGTTTTTTTCCTCATTTTTTGGAGTTTTTTCACTATTTTATCCGTTTTTCAACTTGTTGAAACATCCTTATTTAAGTATAAAGGGATGTTTACGATCTCTCATTGGTGTTTTCATACTGTTTTAAGAATTTTGGAGTGGAGACAACATGAACTTTTAATAAATAAAATATTGTTTAAGCGATTTGTGCCAGTGGATCTAATGGGAACAAAAATATACATGTATTCAGAAAACCATATCTCAGTGGTCAACGACAGGTCATTTAACCTGTCAAATCATCAGTGTTATTGTGCTAGTTTGTTAAGGTCCTTGTTTAATTTGTGGAATTATGTTGACGCCAACCTGAACGTCCATTTCTCCTCCCTATACATAGCTACCTTTTTAGGCATTTTATAAAACGCAACCAATGGTCAATTTGTATTCTCAACCAATTTTCATGAAATGCACTCCTGGTTTCTTAACACTAAATTGACTTTTACATGTTCACATGTTAGGTTAATTTTTATCACCATCTGATAAGATTTTGTTAAAACAATGTACGTATATCATAAAGGCGGCGTATTGTGTACCATTTGAATCACACTTGTTTCAGATGTTAACACGTTTTCTTGGGAACATATTGAAACAAAAGTAATCTCATCTGATGATTTTCCCTAGAGTTTGCAGACATAAACATATCACATTTACACCAGAAGTGAAATCGGTAAAAAACTATAATTCAATTTTGTGATTTGAATGAACGAAAGAGTACATGAATGAAAAATAAATAAATAATGCAATGTAAATAAAAAGCCAAATAAATTAATCGGCATATAAATAAAACACATATGAGCATCGTGTAACACAAGTCTTTATTTCCAGGTACACTATCATGTCCATGTGAGTACATAATAAAAGGCTGCGAGGCGGTGTTCAAGGTGCAACGCAATCGGAGAACCACACCTCTGTTGTATTAGCTGCAACAGAAGACGCGTTAGAATAAAGAAAATATATGCAACGGGGCGTTTTGAAACAAACAGCGGGTCACATCCATGGACATCTTCTAACAGGTATTAAGATTATTATTCTGATCTAGGAATATATCGCCTGTAATTATACATATATACCTGATTATTATCGTAAAACCTCGTGCATTGTGAACTATTTTCCCCCGTTATAACGCCTGAAATTTGGACTTGCAAGTTTATTTTAACAGAAAGATTGTCGGTTTTAAAGTTTCGCCATCTTAAACAGGGGATTTTCTCTAATCAGTTTGCATACAGAACATTGAGACAGGTGAAAATGAATCACAATATTCTTAAGATACTTCAGTCATGATTGATAATCAATGCATAGAAAAATTGATGTCAACAAAGCTTTTGCTTTAATTTTATGTCCACAGATGCTTAATTTTAGCAGAATATATCATATGCACAATTTACAACAGGTATAAAAAAAACGCAATTGTAAATTTTATATAAATCTATGACAAGTTAGTTTCAAAAGTTTAAGCAAGCATTCCACATCATTATCAAAACAGTTACACACTCTATCGTCTGTTATATGGACGATAGCATTCTGACAATGTTCAAACTGACTTGCAATGTTATTTTCCTGTTTTCCTGTTTAATACTCGGCTTTGGACAGCGATTAAGATAGTAGAGGGAATTACATGTATATTAGAATACCAACATGTGAAAGCATGAATAAACGTTCATTTACTTACACACATATTAAGGAACTTCAACGAACATGACGAACGCAGTATGTAAACAGTCAATTAGATCTACGTCATGTATACCGCCAAGGCCGAAACTACCAACAGCCAAGCCGCGAGGGATGCAGTGTTGGAATTACGACTATTATGTTCACCATGACATACACATAAAAGATTTCTCATATTTTATAAATTCAAATCTAGCAATTCTCGTCATAACAAATAGCGCTTTTTCATACCGGATGTCAACATCGGCCTATTAGTCCATGCTGCCGAATGCTTATCGTTTGAATTCACATCTACACAAGATTACACTCTTGGAATTTCTCTGGGTAGAGTCGCCTTCTTCATAAGTTAAACCACTGTTTCTTCTTTGTTTTTGTCAATAGGAGTGACTGAAGTTGAATGTAGCGGTCGTGGGGGAGGTTTTACTTTCGACTCATATTGATTTTAGATGTAGGGAGTTAATCTTTGAGTTTTACCAATGTTAATAAAGTTTGAATGGCGGAGAATTTACTTACAGCACACACTTCACATGAACGACATTCGCTTTGCGTCGTAACGAATCGCTCATGTGATAAGCTTTTCATAGTATTTAAAGACAAAGATAACATGAGTAAATATTGTTATGTTAAGTAATTTAGTAGTCCTTTCTGAAATATATCAGTATCGGACAAGGACTCTGACTTTTCATTCATTATGCATTAAGTTTATGCCAAGGAAACAAAATAAAAGTGATTCTACAAAAAGTTGTTCGGAATTAATATTGAAGCTAGTACAATGGTTACTTCTGACGAGGAAATTTGTTGGGATATTCATGGTAAGCCATAACTTAACAGTTTATTATAAATATCAACATCGCTTCGAATTGTATACAAACCTCTATTCCACCATTTTGGCATGAGTGGAAGACAGCCGACCTCCCCATGAGTAGTCCGCTGATATAGACGGCCACAGGCGTGAAGCGTGGTATCAGATCACAGTTGTCTATAACCTGAAAGTAAGGCCAATCCATATACTGTATTCATGAAGTAACTTTCCTCGTTAGATACTGCTAGCAAATTGATACTATTTGACATTTACAATTATACAGACGAATAAGACGAATAAGAAGAAATCAAACAAAAACACGAATAACGCTGGACGTTTAAGAAGGCAATCGACTTGCAGATGAATGTATGTTGTACCCAAAAATTGTCTGCAAATTTTCGAGTGTGTTCTATTATATTTTTCCCATTTGTTATCCCAAATCCTGAAATTTATTTGTATTTACACAATTAACTTAGCATTTCTAATCAAGGTACTGTCACATTATTCAACATTATTTTTCCATCTTTGACGTTCTTTTAACTACTTGGTCGAGTGGAGCCACCCCTTCAGCCTGTAAAACGTTTTGAGACAACCCGTTTTTCCCGTTTCTTCCCACTTCGCTTGCACACTGACTAAACAACTACGTTACTGGATATAAGCATTACATGTCTTAAAACTTTTTTCTAATGAATCACTTGAATGCACCAATTAATGATTCCAAGATGAATTATTCATTGTAAATACACTTCGGCTGAAGACTGACATACTACAAAACAATGCGGTTGGTTTGAAACCATCGGTCAAGTTAAGTGAAAATGAGTGATTTACGCGCGTTCAAAATATGATCAACCTAATTTGAATTCGAGTGGTACAAAATCAAAAGAATAGCGCGTCCAATTTATTGGCATGGATTTTAAACATTCGGAAAATCTCTTGCCACATGGCACCGAGAAAGATTGTTATTGAAAGATTACGTTATGCTGGCGAACAAACGGCACGGCGACAGATTGCAGATTAACGTCAATGCACCGTTGAGCTGTCAAATTGCCTTCAGTGACGACTTAGGGGGTCATAGGGGGTCCTTAGGGGGACTTAGGGGCCACAGCAGATCCCACTCCATGTCTGGCACAGAGCGGATAGAGTCTCTGGTGGATTTTGGCGCGTTCGAGGCGTCGATCCAATATGTCCCACACGTGCTCTATTGGCAAGAGATTGGGACTGTATTAAGATTAAGGTGCCGTGTCGACATTATTTTGGCGAATATAGTCAAGTGCAAGTCTCGCCACATGACACCGAGCATTGTCTTGTTGAAAGATTACGTTATGCTAGCGGACAAACGGCACGAAGACAGATTGAAAAATAACGTCAATGTATCGTTGAGCTGTCAAATTGCCTTCAATTCTTTAGTGGTTTTGCGACCACTACAGATACCACCCCACACCATACCGCTGCCGCCACCACCAAATCTGTCGCGTTCAACCATGCAGTTTCATTTCATTTCAACACATTTTATTGACAAAGATGTTACAAGTCAACTTGATGGAATAGCAGGCAAAGCCTTGATATCCTCTTTCCAACGATGGCTTAATTAATAGAGTCTGTTATTTTGGATTTGATTTAATTTATGCATCGATTTTGAAATGAAAATTATAAACACAAAAGTTAAAGGAATGTAACTCCTTCTTAATTAACATAACTGAAATACAAATACCTTCACACTTCTCACATCACATATAAAACACTTCCATACCTACTTTTTATTTGTTAAAACATTTTATATAAGCTATCAAATCACACAGTTATTTGCAGACATTGAGCAAAAGTCCATGTGCTATTATATACACAGGTCACAATTGCCAAAACTGTTATTTTATTGTAATTTTAAATGCAAACTGATAGCTAGTCTATATGTATAAGATGGACACTGCAAAACAAGACAAATTGAACAAATCTTACAACAAACACACATGCTCAACTGAAAACTCATATGTCCGTCAAAGAATACCATTTATAGAAAAGTAGGTAAAGTAGAAAAGTGATATTTTCAAGAAATTTTTACCTATTTGTGGAGTATAATTGAAATAGGAATAGAAAAGTATAAAAGTATAGAGATTAAAACGCCTGGATTTACTAATAAATAACTGCACATCATTAAGTAACTGTCTGTTTGTTATTCCATCACAATTAGGACAGCCTTGTAGAAAAATGTTTGTATCAATATGGTTATGATTTCCATAATTATCAACAGAAGTATATATGAAAAGTCTGAGATCTTAATACAATGGACATTCAAGAAATTTATGGAAAATTGTTTCATATTCAAAAGAGCAAGCACAAGAGGGACAGTCAGTTAAATGTCATTGAATAACTCAAAATTTAAATTGCTACAGAAGTTTCTAAGTTGACAAAGAATAATATTTGCTATTCTATCACATTCAGTTTTAAAAATTAATGTTGATTCATTATCAATAATAGTATCTTTATTCAGTTTGTACCATACGATGCCTGCATATTCCAAAATTGGCCTAATATATACTATATAAATTGTAATTAATGATTTTCAATTTACTTTAGTTTTAATTTAACGAAGAATGTTTAATCTACTATAAGCTTTTTCATGTATATTCAGAATGTGTTGTTTCCAAGATGCATCATCTTTTAAAGTCGGTCCTAAGTGTTTATGTGCTGTTGTGTCAGTGATTTGGCTGTTTTGGAAAGCTATTGGAGGGTAATGTTTGCTATGTTTTTTTAGAAAATATTAAAGATTCAGTTTTGTTAGGATTGAATTAGGTGTCCCATATACCTGCCCATTCACTAATGCTAGAGAGATCATTTGTTAGAACTTGTGCTGCATGTGCTGGGTTTACATCTATAATTACATATAAGGAGGTGTCATCTACAAAAAGCTTCATATTAGTTGAAACATTGTTAGTAATGTCGTTGATATATAGGAGAAAACGTAAAGGTCCCAGAACAGATCCCTGAGGTACCCCTGCATTTATAACCTGAAACTTTGAGTGAAAACCTTCAGTGGTGGCTCTTTGCAATCTATCAGGGAGATAATTTTCAAACCATTAAAGCAAATTTTTATCAATTCCATACGTTTTGAGTTTATGTAAGATACCTTTATGCCACAACCTGTCAAAACCTTTGCTAATATCACAAAACAATATAATTGAGCAATTTTTAAACTTCGACCAAACAGAGGCCTGTGTGGTTGCTATGGTAACGAAACGTGTGTGATTGAATTTGCAGTCCCCTGATACCCCTATATACCAATTTTCATCGAAATCGAACAATATCTAAATTCGACCAATCATTTTCGAAACTGTTACTATTGTGTTCTGCATCCCTCAAAACCCATATGTACCAAATCTGGGTAGAATCAGACATAATAACAGACATAATCTCAATTTCGAACAATCAGAGGCCTCCATTTCGTTACCATGGCAACTGAGCTTTTTGAAACTGTTACCATTGTGTTCGGCATCCCTCAAAACCCCTATGTACTAATTCCGGGCAGAATCAGACAATATCTATATTTCGACCAAACAGCGGCCTCCATTTCGTTACCATGGCAACTGATCGAGCTTTTCGAAACTGTTACCATTGTGTTCGGCATCCCTTAAAACCCTTATGTACCAAATCTGGGCAGAAACAGACAACTTTTAAATCTCGACCAATTAGAGGCCTCCATTTTGTTACCATGGCATGTACGGCATCCCTCAAAACCCCAATGTATCAATTATGGGCAAAAGCAGACAATACCTATATTTCTACTAATCAGAGGCCACTATTTCGTTACCATGGCAACTGAGCTTTTCGAAACTGTTACCATTGTGTTCGGCATCTCTCAAATCCTCTATGTACCATCTGGGTAGAATCCGACAACATCTAAATTTCGACCAATCAGAGGCCTCTATTTCGTTACCATGGCAACTGAGTTTTACAAAACTGTTACCATTGTCTTCTGCATCCCTCAAAACCTCTATGTACCAAAGCTAGGCAGAATCAGACAACTTTTCAATCTCGACCAATCAGAGGCCTCCATTTCGTTACCATGGCAACCAGGGATGTGTAGTGGAGGGATTTGCAACTCCATTGGTTTTGTGTTTATTAACCGGACCGTGAAGTCATCGAGGGCCTACTCTGGCCCGTCTGCGCTTGCGCGCTAGTGTCAGGTTATACTCGCACTTGCTTCCGGTGTCATGTCAACACATCGCTGAATCGAATGATTTGATTGGGGTTATCCAGAGACGTATATGTAGTGCATTTATAAAATGTGTGGTCAGAGCTATGAAGCGGTTCTGTTCCAACTAACTGAGCAAAATCAAAAGTGCTAATCTATAATAATATATAAGATTCACGCCTCATATGAGTATAATGTTATCAAAATGTTACATATTCGTTGAAATAACAAATCCTTACTAAAAACTCTTAAAATAGAAACGACCGCCATGTTAGATCACGCATGATGTTATTTCAATTATCCGTTTCCTTATATGGCCAAACATAGTATTCTACTGATGCCGTAATATTTACTACAATTTCCATATATGGTCATGACTCCCATATTTAGAAGTACGACCTATATGCTAGGCCCTATCGGAAGACGGACGAAGTTTCCAATATGGCAGTCAAATCAGATTTCGATTGCACTTGCTACGTAAACTTGATACTTTCACGACATATAAGCAGGGAATAACTTAAAATTATGTAGAAGATCAACAGAAAAAGTTCATATTACAAACCTAATAGTGGATGCTGATCCTGTCAATTAATTCTAAAATCGCCCCGTGTGATTCACACCAGGCTTGCTCAACTAAAAGTAAAAAGGCATGGGATCGCCCGGCCGGGTATTAATATAAGTACTAGCCCCTAGCCTACTCTAGTTCCATATTTGTATTCTAACCTGAAACTTTTTTCCTTCGCTGTATTACCATTTTGTTCCATTTTCATCCTAAGATAAAGAGGTGTCACAAACGCCTGCTCGCTAACAACAAAAAATATGTCTGTTAGTGTGATTTGTGTATTTCATTTATTCGTCAAGTATTACCATATAACAGGACGATCTTTTTCATTATACACAAAACAACAACAAATGAATACTTGATGAAGATAAATCTATTTCGCCTTCGGATTGATTTCAGACATGTACTACGGGAAGAAGACGAGTGATCTCCC